AGGGAGTAGTAAATTACTACCAACTAACTACTCCCTTCCATGTTGGTCGTAAGGAAGTAGTAAATTACGACCAACTAACTTCTCCCTTATATATTAGTCGTAAATGAGTAGTACAATTACAACTAACTAGCTTCGACTTGTGTTTATACCCTAAAACCGTTACCCCAAACATCATAAGTTATATACAGTTCTAAACCCCGAACTACAGAGATTAAACTATTTTTAAAAAAATACACGTGTTTTTGTTGTACCTCCGCGTAGCATTTATATCAACAACTCCAAATTTTCTCTACCGAACTCCTCTACTGACGCTGGGGTAAAACCAGTTACATTTTAAGAGAACGCATTTCATCTTCACTAGACTGAGAAACTCCACTTCGATGATCTATTGCATGATTCCATAGAAATATGTTTCACCATTCACACATACTCTATAGTTCGTTGTTGCTCGCCTACTTCCATATTCGTAAGTGTGAAAGTGTACCCTCGTGTGAAATACATGTTGTGGTAACCTTAGCGGCCGGATCTTGTATCAATTCGTGAAACCATGGATCATCATAATCAACCTTTAATATGACATATATATATATATATATACATGTGTATATCTATATAACAATTAATTACAATAAAATAACATATTAAAAATTATTTTGTGATATATACCTGCGTGTTTAACCATTTCACGAAGTGTTGGTTACTTTGTAATATATTTATGACTAATTTACGACTACATTCAAAAGTAGTCATAATTTGGTTGTTAATTACCTTCCTCTTTACGACTAATACTATTAATCGTATTATAACTACCAAGTTACGACCAATTATAAATTAGTCGTAAATTGGATGTAAAGTAGACGTTAATTTACGACCACATGTTTGTAGTCGTTAACTGTAGTCGCTTTTCTCATGTTTTCTTGTAGTGCAAATCACATTTTATAAGGCATAAAACTCAGACTTGATTAATCAAACCATTGGATTAAAGGACTTTCAAAAAAAAAATATTTTATACTTTAAGGTGAATCTGAAGTTGAGAATATTGGTTAACCCAAGTTTTCATGAACTCAGTTTTAATTTATTAATCAGAAAAATTATGTTTTTTTCAGGAACAAAACAAGGTTACATTTTCATGACATTTTAGTGTTTCTTTGCCTTGTCGCTGCCACAGAACCATTCTTAATCTCTCTTAAAGGTGGTCTTGAGGATGACGGTTTTGTTGTTCTTCCGTCACTGTACTTAGACCAATCTCCATTGTTGCTATGTCGGTTTTCTTTCAACCTACAAATCAAAACTCTCTTCTCTGACTCTGTTGGCAACTTGTTCTTCTCTGGTTCTACCTTATTACCTTCATTCCTCAGTTTTTTTATCTCATCTTGTAACCCGCTAACTTCTGCTTGTATGTTTCTCAATTTTGCTTCTGATGATAACGCTTTTCTTCTCCAACCTTCAACCTAAAACAGATTCATAGAAAGAAAGGATCTTCAATATTTTTTTATCATCTTTTTTTTTTTTAATACCAGGATGTTCGGAGCCGAAGTCCATAATCTCATATGAAATGATGTTACATCAAAGATGAGTTCAATCTTACTGAGGAATGTAGATTCTGTATCTGAGAATCTGATTCCAGAGCGCGGTTTTGCCAGAAATCACGACATGACTGAAGTTCCTCCATTTCATTCCTCACTTGACTCAACATGTCTTGCATTTGTGACCATTGCTCAGCTTCTGCTCTTACTTGATCCGCGATCTTTCTCATAACAGCTTTGCAGTGTCTAGAACAGTCTTTCTTAGTATACTTGTCTTGTACAGACACATCTTGAATATCAATGGTTTTGGAGAGAATCGACAACGCCTCCATTTTACTACTCAATCTATCTATCTGAAGAAGATAACAACATCAAATTCAAGATCATGCAAAAAGAAAAGACTTAAGTAATCTTACAGTGAATTGTTGTCACTCACATTGTCATTATTGTTATTGACCAAGAAGGTAGCTTCTGCCATTTTCTGAATCCCTTTAACACAAACCTCTCCTTCGTCAAACTTCTCAAGCTCTCTTCTTAAAACAGAAGCTTGCTTGTCAAAGTTATGTCTGAAGTTTCTAGCTTCTTCCATGTCTTTATTCACCTTTGGAGACTTTAACTCATTTAGTTTCTCAATCAAATAGCTTATCTCATCTTCCAAAACCTTGCTCTCTTTCTTCCCTTCTGAGATCCTCTGTCTCCCCTAAATGAATAAAAAAGACCCAACAAAAGCTTCAAACTCAAAACATTAACAAAAGCTTCAAACTCAAAACATTCACACACTCACAAACGCAACATGTAAACCAATCAGATTAGACTTACAGAGAGAAGAGTATGAACAGCAGATCTAAGCGTTTTCTCCATTCGCTTCTTCCTCCTCTCCATCTTCTTCATAGCAATTTCCTTTTCAATCCTTAACAAGTTACACTCTGATCTCAACATCTCCGTCTGAAACCTCCACTTAGCTTCATCTACTTCATTAGAAGACGACAAAGACCTACCAATCTCTCTCCCTTCTGCAACTTTCTCTCTTCTTCTTCCCTCCTCCATCAAAACAGGTCCCCCTCCTCGATCGAAAGACCTCTCTTGGTGAAACAGAGCCTCCAACCTCACCCTCTGATCCTTCTGAGAGTAGGAAGAAGAAGAAGAAGGTGTCGTTGTCTTACCTTTTGTGGAACTTCGTCGTACACTTTGCCTACGTGGCAGCTGAAGAATCCTCGGCGTAGGAAGGCCCACTTGTGGGTACTGCCACTTCGATCTCTTTATAACCATCGGTTCGTTTCTTCTCTCCATTTGTCACCGCCAACTTTAAAAAAAAAAAAAAAGAGAACGAAAGTGTTTGTCTTTTTCTTTGTGGTAAAGAGTGTCAGAAGAAGAAGAAGAATGACATCATTTTTCAAACTAGACTAGATGAAAGCTCTGTTCTGGTCTTTTCTTTGTCTGTCTCTTTCTCTGTCGGATTTTGAAAACTAAAATCCTTTGTTACCGTTGCAAAATAGAGTAAGAGAGAATCACTCGAAAGCAGAGAAGTAAAGAGACAACCTTGGAGAATTCAAACGCAATATCAAATTGTGTTTGGTAAATTTAAAATAGTGTTTTTCTCTACAATGTGCGTGTATATATAATAATATAGTGAATACGAAAGTAACAACAATCTTTGGGTCTGGTTCTCGAGTAAAGCCTACGGCGAGAGAAAGAAGGAGAGAGACCTCGTGAAATGGAGCCATTTTCAAATAAAAGCTGTGTTGTTGTTCTTCGTGATGAAACCGCTGCCTTCCTCTTCTTTTCCATTTATTTACAACTCTACCACTGCGGAGAGCCTCAGTACATTTATTATAGCGAGTTTGATTGCATAAAATTGCACTTTACCTTTACTCTAGAGCCTCATTGGATGATAACTCATTTATTATAGCATTCTTTTCTTTGCTTTTTACGATATCTCCTTTAATATATACTAGACCTTGATCCGTGCGACCGCACGGGTATTAATTTTATTTTTTTAATTTTTATATTAAATGAAATTTTTGTAAAAATTACTTGTATTACAATATGTTTTTTTTGTGTGTGTTAACAATTTATTGTATCAAAAATATTGGATATCATACAAACAAATCTAACATGTAGACGATATATTGAAAATATTTTTCAGTTAAATATATATCAAATCTTGAGAAGTAAGAATTAATATGGTATACAAAAAAAATGATAAATTAGTTATAAAATTTCTAAGAAAAAGCCTCATGTTCAAATTATATAAAAATTTTAATATATAAAACATTTGGATTGAAATTTGTAAATTAAAAAATGAAGTATCAATTAAATGGTTACAAATTACTTATGAGTTTAATTTTGACAGAAGAATACCGAAAAGTTTGTTGTTTGATCCGCGCAAGTGTTTGTTTTTATATATTTTATAAGTGATAATATATATTTCTAAATTTACCCGTTTAAATAATTTTTTAAAACGACATTTTAAACACACAATTTTATAGTTTATATTGAGTAATTTTATTTTATATTATAAACTATCGTTGTGTCATACTTATTTTAAAAATATGACCCGTATATCTGCACAAATGTTTTATTTTATTTTTATGGATCAAAACAATGATAATGTATAACTAAATTGTTGTATCTACTATTTAAAATATATGGTCCTATATATTTCTACTTTTTTAACTTTTATTATTCTGAATTTACCTTGAACTATTATTTATATAAAAATATACATAACATAATATGTTTATATTAATCTATGTATTATATATTATATAATTGTTTCTTTTTGTGACTTTTATTTTAGTTATTACTTATAAATAATAAAAATATAATTATATATCTTTGAAAACAATATTGTTCATTAACTATTTAAAGATATGTAGATAATTAATAATAAAAAAATCTTAAAAGGTAGATTAATTAATATTGGAATTAGTTATTATGTATATGGAATTAGTAAAAAAACAATCTATATATAATTTATTTATTTAATTACGAAAGGTATATATGAAAATAATTATTTTCATTAGTTATTGTTGCCATAATTTTTTAAGTTAAAATTTGATTTTGAAAATGCATTAATTAAAGTGAAAAGACAAAGAATCCTATAAGATAGGGTAATTAATAACTTCAGTGGCATTCCACTGTAAATAACACTGAACATTAAGGGACATTTCAATAGGGTACTTCTATTTTAATAATAGATATATATATATATATATATATATATATATATATATATAGTGACTAGTTGCTGTTCCTTTATTTTTTCTCAACGACTAGTGGTTGTTTACTATTCGAATTGTGAAACAAACGAGAAGTCTATTCAAATATATTGTTATTCAAAATCGTCAGAGGATTTAATTTTAAACTAACTCAAATTTCGTAAAATATTATGCTGTGTACTATTTTTCTAGAATGAGTTGCACGAAACAAAAATTTAAACAGATTTTTTTCCTTAATCCCCTATATATTAATTGAGAAACATTTGAAAAGATGTAACCTCAATTTTGTAAAAATTAAAAAAGACCCTTTGCATATGTGTCAATCAATTAGATAGTTAATTAATCTTAGTGTCAGCCTCACATTCAAATTGAAAAACATGTTGGTCCAATTCAATTTTTATATCTCACTAGAAACATTTATTACTATAAAACAAAGTGTTATATCATATGATATCATATGATATTAATTATTTAATTTTCTTTCCTTAAATAAATATGACAGAATTACCAAATATGACTAATACATAAATGATAATTAATGATTCTAATAATAAAGATTTGATAACAATCTATATCTCCTCCATCGTTTTTATCTAATTTTATATTATTAAAATAAAGTAAACAATTCAATTAGTTATAAAATTAAAAATTTAGATTTTTTTCCGTATATGTTGTATTTTGAATTTAAAAAAATGACAATAAATTACTAAAGCTGTTAAGATTATTATGTTAAAAATTAATGATCAAAGGTGTAACATCCCTTATCCCTTATATATTAATTTAGAAAAATAGGCTGGTCCATCTTAATTTATATTATAATTTTTATTAAACTAACTATTAAATTGATAAATAGTGTACAAAAAAAAATTCCCGCACTTACTTTAAATAGAAACTATGAAGTTACTTAATATGATTAACGTATTTGTGACAATAAATGATTATGAATAATAAATATTTGATAACAATTTTTGTATATTATTAGCTCTTTTTCTTTAATTTGATATTATTAAAAAATATTACCCAGTCAGATTAACCATATAATAAAAAATATTTTTTCTTAAATGTTATATTTTGAATTTCTTAAAACGGCTATAAATTATGAAAATTTTAAATCCCACTTTGAAATTTTTGTGATCAATTGATTAATTTGTTCTGTTATAACAAAATACAAATGATCATAAAATTGTATTAATATAGATTTTTATTTAGAAATATTCAAATTAAAAAAAAAAATATATATATATATATATATATATATATATATATATATATATATATATATATATATATATATATATATATATATATATATATATATATATATATATATATATATATATATATATTCAGCTAACAATTTAAACCAAGAAAATTAGCTGTGTTAATTTAGCTTCCAGTTGAAACCCTTCAAAACTATGTGAAATACTAAGGTCAAAGTAATTCAAATTTAGAAATAATAGTAAGCTGCTGGTTCTAAAACCATTAAAATGGTTCTTAGTGATATTAAAATAAAATATTAAAAAAGATGTGAAACCTGTTTTTCTTTCGTGCTTCTATTTTGTTTTTTATTTTTTATTTTTAAAATTTAGAGTTTTAATATTAATTCTTGATTTGATTATTTTATTAGATGATAGAAGAATTTTTTGTTTTTTATCCTTTTATTTAAATATATAATATTTTTTAATAAATGACCTTTTGACAACATGACTCTAAATTCGTATAATATATGATATGATCTCAAACTAAATATTTATACTTTTTATATAAACATCGAATAAAACAAAAACCGACGGTATATAAACTGAACCGAAGCGAAGTAAATTAGATTTAGAATAGTAGTTATATTTTACTGACCAAAATACCTTTTTATTTTGAAATACGCTAACCGAAATACCAAAAAAACCAAAAAAAATAGAACCAAACCAAAACAAATCGATATCCAGATTGAACACCCCAATCCAAATGAAACCAATTTATTGTTTCATCATCCAAAACATAATAAAAATAACAATTTTATCCCGCGCAAAGCACGGGTCTTATCCTAGTACTTTATTAATGCACAAACATCAATTTTACTCATATTTTATAAAATTTCCAAACCGAATCTTTCGTCTATCATATCAAAATTGTACGAATTACTCAAAATAATATTTATGGCCCTTAAACAATTTTGTAATTTTTTTTGTTAATTACATAATTTGTTGACTCATGAACTCGTCTCATTTTTAAAAATATTTTAGATCAAAAAATCATTTATCGCATAAGAACTTAATGTTTAGGCTTAAGAATCTCAGATCTACTATTTGATTACAATAAAATTATGTCATATCAGTTTTATATAATTATTCAACAATTTAAAAGTTAATAATGGTTGTGAGAAATTTACATTTTCTTGTCAATCATATCTATCTTCAATATTTTTCTCTTTTTGATGTCGTTTTTTTCATTTTGATTATTGATCGATATAAATATTGATATTTGAAATTATTCTCATTTCGTTCTTTTGTTTTGGCTTAAGATTTAGCAAATGTTTAAGATTTAAACTTATTAAAAAAGATACATAATTGATTAAAATCTACGCCTTGTGCAGAATAAATATTTTAAATTTATTTATGTTTTTATGCATATTATGAAATAATACAATAATTATTATATATTAAATAATTAAGAAATCAGTTACTAATACTATTATGTAATAAATTGGTGTCTGCATATAAACTAAAGGATCTTTCTTGTTCAATCATTTTAGGGTAAATAAATCAAAACAATCAATCTCATATATCGTATATGATATATAACTAAATTAAAATGATATTAACATAGATATAGTACACTTTTAATATGGATATTAATTAAATGAGGTTTCTACTCATATGATTTTATGATTATTTGCTTATTTGTGTAACAAAAATTTAGACCAGTGATTTTTTTTAATATGAAATGTTTAGTGGTTGCAATAATTTATAATTATTTATAAAAACAATGAATATTTCAAAATTGAAATATTAACTTTCAATATATGTTCAATGCAAATATCAAAATATAAGTATGTATTTGCATATATATATATTAACATAAGCACCTACTAAAACGAATATTTTTATTCATATGATTTTATAATCATTGTATTTTATTATATAAAAAAATCTAAACCTAGATCACAAAAGTTTATGTGAGACTTTTAACAGTTTTAGTAATCTATACTCGTTTTGATAAATTCAAAATACAACATATACAAAATAATCTAAATTTT